GAAAGAGCCCGAGCCTCGCCGTGAGGCGGTGATTTCCCGTTGGGACACCGTGGGAATCTACGGGAATCTACCGGAACCTATGGAAACCTATGGGATGACTTGGATGATGAAGGGCTTTTGACACGGATCTATCGCAGATGTTGCTTTTGTTGTGCTACCTGGGACCTTCATGAGCAAGTGGCAAATGGTGCTGTTTGACATCTTCAATCTTCGTTTTGATCCTTCTCATGTCTTCCGTGTGACCAGGCGGATGTTTACTTCTCTGAGGAAGAAGAATTCTCAGAGTATGAGTGTGAGGGTTGTGGCTCCAAAAGTGTGCGCCCTGCGGCTTCAAAAGTTTGTTTCTTGTGCCAATATTTTCTGCTGTAATGATCTTCACTGTTCCTACAAAGCTGGAGCTTCTGCTCTAGAACTATAGAACTGTGAATGCGAAGCTTACAACATCAGATTCAACAGCAAGGCCCCGAGATTCCTACAGGTGAACGTCATGAAGAAGGCGGAAGATCGATGTTTCAAGGTGTATTGCAATGCAGCAAGCCTAGACATCACAAGTGGAAGACAGCCTGGAAGCATGGAATTACACTGCGAAGTTGTTGTGGTCAAGTTTCAGCAAGAAAAACATAGAAGATTTTGCGAAGCGAACGTGCTATAGTGAAATTCAACTCCCCTGGTTTATCATGGTTTATCATAATTTTCCGACATTTTCCCCAGTAAAAAGGCTATTATTTGGGGGTATCCCTCATTTCAGACACCCATAGAGCTAACTTTCCTGGTCCACATGGGCAGCACCGCAGAGATGCAAACTTTGCAGCCAAGGATTGCCCTTACGTGTCCATTGCAGACATGAACAAGGAGGCCAACAGGGTCTGAACATATACCACCATTATACCACACTATACCACCATTTTTGGCAATTTCATATGGGGTAAATTGAGGATTTAGGGATACCCGGATAGCCAATTTTCATACATTTTCATAGAAACCCAAATTGTAGTATGTTCAACTGAAAGGCCGACTGAAAGCAACACTTCGCTCGGCAGCTGACTCACTTTTCTGTGCTTGGATGGTTGGGTTGCCAGGATTTTGAGACACTTGTAGAAGAGTTGTTTGGCTCAAGATGTGCTCTGAATTTTCCTCGGCATTTGTAGCAGTGTAGCTACTACAGCAACTTAGCCGATGTGCTCGGTGTACTCCGCAGTGTCTGGTGCAGTACTTGCTGTTATATCTGACTATGAAGGCAAAAGTGCAAAAGAAATCAAAGACTTCGTGGCAACTCAGATTGGCATTTCGGCATTTCGTCAACAGTTTTGGTCTGAAGATTGGTCTCAGAAACTTCGAGATGATAAGATTCTGAGCTCGGAGCACGTGAAGATCCAGCTGATGGTGCTGCCCTGGCGTCCACCTGACCCTGTGGAAGACCAAAAGATGATGAGTGCCGCCAGTGCCGGGAATTCCGAGGCATTGGAAGAGCTGCTCCAAGGCCTTGGCAATCCCAACCTGACATGGGGAGATGGTGAAACACTGCTGCACCATGCGGCCAGGGGTGGACATGTGGAAGCAATGCAGCTGTTGCTGGAGGCAGGTGCTCATAGAGATACCCGAGACACAAGGACCCCAGGTTATACACCATTGCATTTCGCAGCTTCGGAGGGTCATGTGGGCAGTATTGCTTTGTTGGTGGCAGATGGAGTTGATCTGGATCTGGGAACACTTGACTGTGGTGTAGCACCCTTGCACTTCGCAGTCTTTTGGGGTCATGTCAAAGCAGCTTGCTTGTTGCTTGAGGCTAGAGCTGACATTGACAAAGCCACAACTGACGATGGAACCACACCCTTGGTCATCGCAGCAAAGCAGGGTCATGTTGAAGTTCTCGATGTGCTGACTGCGGCCGGGGCTGACAACAACAAAGCCAGAATCAGTGATGGGGTCACACCGTTGTACATTGCAGTTCAGGCAGGCCACATGGAAGTAGCGCGTTTGCTGATTGAGGCTAGGGTTGATGTTGACAAAGCCACAAGCGACAATGGAGCAACACCATTGTACATTGCAGCTCATAATGGCCATTTGGATGTCGTGCACTTGCTGATTAGGGCACGCGCGGACAGCAACAAAGCCACAAGCGACGATGGCACAACACCGTTGTACATCGCAGCTCAAAAGGGCCATCTGGAAGTTGTGCGCATTCTTATTCAGGCTGGCGCTGATGTCGACAAATCTACAACAGACACTGGAGCAACACCATTGTATATAGCAGCTCAAAAGGGCAATCTAGAAGTTGTGCGCCAGCTGCTGTCGTCTGGAGCTGACATCAACAAGGCCAAGACTGACGGGACTACACCATTGTCTATCGCAGCTCGACAGGGTCATGTCCAAGCGCTGCAGTTGTTGATTGAAGTTGGCGTTGACACCGACTAAGCGACTAAGCATTGACTGCAAATGAAACTGAGCTCCGTGTTCACCGGAGCTCACATGGTCCATGTTCATCCATGTTCATGTTTCATGCTTTCTGGCCAGAACCATCAGAGGACGACTGACAGTATCCGAAATATTGCTTTGAAGTGTTGGCAATCATCCAAGTTCTTCTCATGCTGATGATAACCAAGCCAACGGCGTGGAACTTCTGTACTGTGCGAATCTTTGATTATTGTAAATCTATTTTCCACCACAGCTGTACCAAAGAGTCAGCACATAGCTCAACTTCTGCACCTCAAAAAATATCGCAGTTGCACTCATCAATCAGTGTTCCATTCCCCCAATCTTGCGGAAAAAAAGAGGGCCATCAATCAGTGTGCACAAGAGCAACGAGTTTAAGTGCATGAATTTGACAGAGAGAACAGGATTGCTCCAAGGACTCCAAGCCATTGTAGGGTTTATAGGTAAATGATAGCCACAAGGGAGGAAAACGGGTCATCCACCGCGTGCATTTGGGGTTCCACAGCGTTGATGGCTCTGAGGCACCTTCAATTCGGCGGCAGCGCGAGATTGACGAGGCGGAGAAAAAAGTTGAAATGGTTGAACAGCTGACCCCAATGGATTTGGCTCCCAAAACTCCCAAATGGTGGTTTCCTAAGTCATAGGGGTACCCCCAAATCATCAATTTTAGTAGGATTTTCCACTAGAAACCATCCATTTTGGGGTACCACCATTTTAGGGAACCACCAAATGAGGAGCAACAATGATTTATTTCTTTTGTTTGAACTCTCCCTCGTTGGACGTAGAGATTCGTAGAGGCTTTGTAAGCGGTCTTGGCAACGTGCTGAATGTTCTTTCCATCGAATTGATGGCATGGTAGCAGTTGCGGGGATTTATCCTGCATATTCCCCACCCAGCGCCAGTTTTGAACCCTTGCAGGCGCGTGCCCGCAAGAAGAAGGAGAAGGAGCAGAAGAAGTTGGCAGAGAAATTGGCCATTGAGGACGTAGCGGCGACGTAGCGGACATGGAGGGAAATCACAACAATAGTAATGGCAATGGTTATATAATAATGGTTAATAGCTGTTAATAGCTGTTAATTACTAATAATGGTGATGAATCGTGATCACTGGTGATTAATTTTGATATACCCTCTGGCAATCATTTAATTACCTAGCTACGGAAAACCACCATTGTTACCAGGTAAATCATCTACTTTCACACCAAAATCACCTGAGGGTAACAGGCAAGTTGGCATGTGCGAGACGATTATGCTGACCTGATCTTGCTAGTCCTTGGAGCTGTCGTGAAGTTTTCAATACGTTTATCGAGCCGTCACTCACTGCCCAATTATTGCCGCAAGACAACGGTGGATACAGTCGGCCGGTTTGGACACAACACTTTCCTTCTAATGTGGTATAATGTGGTAAACCCAATCAGATCCAATAAGAAACCCATCCCGAATCACCAATGGGTGGTAGCCCAGATGGTACTGGTAGGTTTATGGCAGCTGGTGGGGAAACCCCCAGGACAAGGTGCTTGTGGACTTGGCAGAGCTCGAGGAGGTCGACTGAGAGCGATCCCAGTGCCATTTTAATGGCTGCCAGTTGTGCAGCCCCAGCAGAAATACATAGAATATGTCTGAAGAAGATATTAATTATACAATATATACATTATAAATATAACTTATATAACTATATGTATTATATATTATATATGTATTATATATATATAATATATATATAATACATATGATAAGTCATCATTTAATTTCGATATCGTTTCATTTATGAGTTGATCAATCTGAATGAACATTTTGCTACACTGGTCATCCCCTGATAGGAGTTACTAGTTGCTAGAAGCTTCAGGTGTTTTGTTGGGCAAATTGAATCTGCACAAGCTCAAGGCAACTCGCATCCGCCATCCCCATATTTTCCGCAAAGCTCGGGATGGTTTCTGGGTCAGCATTTCTGCCCCTTCATGCTGTGTGCAGAACCCATCTGTGGGCTTTGTGCACAAGTAGCCCTTGTCCAGCTGTACCGGCGGGCAACATTTGGGCGAAAAGCCGTGAGCTGACAGAAACTGTCTTTAGTACGGTGGATAATTGTTGCAATCTTTCTTCGGACAGACAAGGACCTCCTGCCTCATGGAAACAGTGGAAGCTTCACTGCGTGTGGCTCAAGACGCTTGAGATGATTGAAGCTGGAGTTCTAGTTGAGCTCACATCTGAGAAAAGGTCAGCAGTAAAAGATAGGACATGCCACGCCTCCAGGAATCAAATCGACTCGTCCCCAAACATTCACAAAAAAGTATAGACAGAGTTTGACCGACATCTTTTTCGCAGTGGTTCAGGACAGTGCGAACTTCTTGGATTTGCTGAGTGAGGGATTCTATTATTTTTTTGCATTGCTTAATCCACCAGAAATGGGAATCTACTGGGACGTGTATCTTTTTCTCTGTTTCTCAATATGTATATATATATATTAATACACATACAGATACACATGATAACTTATATCTATATAATGGTATACACATATATATATATTATACCATGGGCCATGGGGGAAGATTAGCAAATCCCCAACGACTTCTCAGTCCTTCGAACTGCATCGAACGTGCGGCGAGAACGGCGCCAGGAACGGTAGTCGGTAGAGCTATCGCCTCGGAAGACGATCAATTTTCATGATGTTGAAACTGATGCTATAATCATAGAATTGGATGATGGGAAAATTTACAGGAAAGCCCTATATTTGATGGTAAAAACCATGGTTTCCTGTAGATTTTCCCTTAAACCAATCCAGTGATATAACTGACTGGGGATAACATCACTGACATTTCCTTGATGTGACCAGCGTGACTGGTCACAAGATGTTGATTGCGTTTTGTTCCCAGATATGCAATGAAAATACATTTCGAAGTTGTTCCCCTTGTGAAATTGTTGCCTGTCAAACACCAACTATGACTTCCACATCCTCCACTTGCGTTATGGTGTCCATAGCAAAGTCGCAAAGGTCGCGTGACGATGAAGCAAGTGCTGACGGCCTGGCGTGGGGCATTCTTTGGATGAAGGGTGATGAAGGGGCTGCAGTAAACCATAGTAAACCCAAGTTATCAATGGTAAACACCATAAACACCGGGATTCCCTGTATTTTGTATATTTTGTTCCCTGTACCCAACCCAATCAAAACCAAGATGGATCAGCATAAACAAGTGGGACTTGCAAGGCAGGACTTAATGCTGGTTTGGACACCAAGAGTTGGCTACATCATTGAAGTTAAGCGATTTGCCAAGGCAGAAGCATAAAATGCCGAATGTGAATGTCATTGACACTCATTGACCACCTTGAACCACCTTTCTTAGGAATAAAATGCATATGGATCGGAAGGTGATTGACTTGCAATGCACATGGTGTGTAGTCTATTGTCCATGCGTCGTGCCTCCTGTTTTTGGAGGCACTATGCCCTGCCTTGCTACTTCTCAGATGTTGGCCCGAAGGCACACCTGCCCGTTGGATGGAAGCATCCGAAATTTAAGGCAAATTCACTGACAAAATTGACGAGATTAATGGGCCCTTGATGTGGAGTATATAATACGACATGACGTGAGCAAATTTCATAAGTACTAAGTACTACCTCCGAGGCCGGTTTTGTTGGTGGCTTGCCGAGATTCATCAACACTCTAGTCGATCTGTTTGTTCAACTCTCTAAAACAGCCATGGAAATGTAAGATAAATGACTTTTCACAAATATGCTTTTCACATTAAATATGGAGAATATCCACTTCCGTGGTTAGAATAATTTATTGGTTTCCCTGATTTAAGGTGGTTCCACCCCCGAAAGCCGGAAACAAAAAACAGGGGATCCAGAGAAAGCCACATCCGACGTTGCCCGGAAGGCTTCACGACCACCAGAGGCTTTGGCAACGAAGTCTCACGTGCAGCTGGCAACTTGAGAAGGCCGATGACCTGTGACAAACACCCTGAGGGTGCACCTTTGGTGTATTTCTTTCAGGGTTTTTGGTGTCTTTGGGTATTGGAAATTTTGTTTGATATTGTTTGGTCACTTTGTGGGTATGTTGATATTTAGGGATATAGATATATCTTTAGTTTTGTTTGGGTGATTTTGGGATATTTTTGGATGCGTCAGGATGGTTAAGTCGCACTGGTCATGTTTACAACTGAGAGAAGTCAGAGATGTATGGTGATACAATATGATACAGTATGTATGATGCATTTATGATTTCACATATGATACACTTATGATACAATCATGATACAGTGATATTCCTGTATCTTTATAATACTTGCTGACATGGCAAGGATTGGCAAGGAATCCCAACAACTAGAACTTGCTGACATCGCTGCCATCTCTCGCTGCAGGAGACAAGTGCAGCTTTCGGCCGAGGCCATGGCACAATCTTATTGAATCCTCGGTGAGCTAAGAGTTGCAGGTTGGAATATCAATTGTCACCTCCAAAGTTCATGGAACTTCCAGGGAATAGCAGAAATAGCTGGATACTTTATGAATCTTTATGAAATTGTGAATTCGAGGCGTATGAGTCTTTGGTCTTGAGGGTTTCCCAAAAGAGTCACCTCACATTCGAACCGGGGACAATATGTCTGCTGGATCCTGAGGCAATGATGCACTATCCTTCACCCGTTCCAACTAGCACCGAAAATAACCACAAGAATAATAAGGATAAGAATATGGATAAACCAGTTTAAGATGTTCAAGACATCAGAGAATGATGTTGAATTCAAGAGGATAGATCAATGATAAATAATGATAAATCCTGATAAATCATGATAGATCCCCACTTAAACCATCAATAGATCAAGAGAATTGGAGAACTTTCGAGGCGGAAGCTGAAGGATCAACAACTGGAGGCGGAAGTTTCTGCCTCACAGTCAGATTGGGTGGCTTACTGTATGGCCTAAATGGGAATCGCAAGCTCCCAAATGTTCCCAACATGGCCAAGGCAGAGGAAATTATTGGTATGTTTGGTTTGATCTTTGTAAGTTTCCTTCTTTTTTTAAGGGACTAAATTAGAATCAGGCTGGCAAGTTGTGATTGATCGAAATCCTTATGATGAAGAATGCAATTTCTCCGAGCTGTTTGTTCAAAGGCGCACTTTAGCATTCTGCAGGAATAGCCTACTGAAATTGTGACTCTTGCACCAGCAGACGAGCAGTTTGCAAAAGCCTCACCTTTTCCCTCCTCTAGTCACTAGCTTGACCCGTAAATCGGACAGCACCATGGCAATCAGATCCTGATTTCAAGTTGCTTGTAGAATGTATTAATGTATTGTCTTGTATTGTACAACCACATCGAGATACGTCTAGTGTGCTCTTTGCGGATCATTTTTGCTATGGCCTCCTCCAGCAATGCATGGACAGAGGAAGAACAGCAGCTGCTAGAGGAAGGACTTGTGGACTGGTCGAGACCATGTGGCTTCATGATGCTTCATGATTCAATATGGATATTTGGGCATAGTCACTTCACTCCCAAATAGGTGGATTTTGCCTTCACATCGGGTTTCTAGATTTTTCATGATTTTTCTACACGTGTTCGCAGGACTGATGAAATTCGCGATGATTTGTGACATCAAGGAAAAGTGGAAAGCCATCGCCGGGCACGTCGGAACACGCGACGTCCGGGCGTGTGCTGATCGATTTAAGGCGCCTTTTGGGGCCCCGGATGGGCGACGGCACATCCACGGGTTCGGCCATGGCAGGTGTGTCGTCAACGTGCGTTGGAGCAACAGAGGGCGCTGGAGGAACAGGAAGAGGAGGAACGGAGGGGAAAGGTTACAATCGTCATTCAGATTATTGACTTTTTATTATAGCATACAATGACATAATATCATGATATATATATATATGTGTATATATATATATGCATAATATATATATATATATTATACACAATATGTAAAAGATGTATTATATGATACATGTACACTGTGCCACGGTGCTTGATTTACCAAGGCCTGATTTGAGATGTGCGTTTTTTTTTTTTTTAAGATGGGAATTGACCAACACCGTTCATTTTACCATGGGAAAGCCATGATTGTGGGCTACCACAATTTCGGGAAACGCCCACATTACCCATGACATCACACCTGACTTCGTCAGATGTGCCTGAAACCTGATTTGTCAGGAGGAGTCGGACTGGAGACAAAACGACTGGAACGAATGGAACGAATGGAAGAAAGATGATTGGTGGAACGGTTGGTGGAGTGGTTGGCACGACAGATCCTGGAAGGAGGAGACCCAGACCCCCCTGGAGGAAGCAGATCGACGGAAATGGGAAATCCAAGAAGAAATCGAGGTGCGTTGAACCAACGCTTCGAATGATGTGACTGTCTGATGAATCAAAACAAGTCACCTCAATGTTGGCGTTGGTTGTTCATGTCGTTCCAAGCATTTCCTGCATCACCAAGCCATGGAGCCTGTGAAGATTTTAGGCGAATCGTCGGAAGCTGGAACAAAAGGAGGAACAAAAGCGACAGCACGAGACGAAACGAGAGGACAAACTTCGTGCAGAGAGGGAGCAGAAGGAGAAAGAACGCCAGGAGATTTTCCCAAATGTCTCAAGATGAAAACGCCAGGATTCCCCGAATTTCCCCGATTTTCCCAACCTGAGAACAAACAGTAGCTACTCAGTAGTTCCGCGATGGGTTTGAAGTTCTCCATCGCCTCATGCCAGGAGCAGCAAAAGGCCAGAGAACAAAAGATCATCGAAGCACAAGAACGAGAGAAGCAGCAGCGTTTGGAGGAGGAGAAACGCCAAAGAGAGCTGCAAAGGAAGATGGAGGAGGAGGATGCCAAGGTGCCTAATTTTTGCTTATTAGGTTTAATGATTGTTCAGAATCTCAAGTCTAAGAACCCGCAGCTGGTGAGTTTGGATATGAAGCCATTAAAATCTATTTGGAATTGCGTGCTCACGCACACTTAGACCCATCCTGTTCAATGTTTTAGCGGATTCAACTACATGTTTTAAATGCCGTGGGACGCGTCAAAGCACTGGACATTGAGAATTGAGGCTGGCTTCTACGGCACGCGACACTTGAATCTGAGTGGCAAACCGGGCATGAAAGGCAAAGGCAAAGCTTGGGGCAAGGGACCCAGTAAAGGTGAGTTGCAAAAGCAGCGGCGGGAGGAGGAGATGGAACGAAGGGCTCGTGAGGTCCTTGCGAATATCGGAGCCAAGAAAACTGAGGAGAGTCCTGAGAGTCCTGAAGTTGAAAACGTCGAAGCTTCTAATGACAATGAACCTCAGACAGCAACATCCGCCCCAGATGTTCCGAGCAAAGCCAAAGGGGCCAAAGGGACCAAAGGAAAGGGCGGTGACACCGGCGATGCTGGCGATAGAGAGAATGCGGATCTTAAAGGCGGCAAGAGCAAAGGAGGCAAAGGGAGCGAAGGGAGAAAAGGCAAAGGAGGCAAAGGGAAAGGCAAGGAACGTCGAACACCCGGCTGGTGGACCAAAATTGATGGTGATTGTCCAATCTCCTTGGTGCCCATTGCGGAGCTGCCAGTCCCACCCTTTGGCTTGAAAGCTGAAGGAAGCTCGGTACCACATTACTTCGATGGTCAGTTTTTGGCCAGTTTCTTGCTGAGTTCTTTTGACTTCATCAACCCAGTGAACCGCACTCCTTTGAGTCGTGAAGACTGTTCGGCATTGGATGCCCATTTGCGGGACTTCTATCCGAGTCAGTCGGCCTCCGTGACGGATGCCTTTGATTTATTCCAGCGCAATGGAGGAACTGGCAGCGACGCAGTCCGTCGCGAAGCCACGGCGGTGTTCCAGCACCTCTTCCGCTTCACTCACTCGCAGAATATGGACAGCCGCGGGCGGGCCATCAATTTCAACGATGGGGGATTGACCGCAGCTAGGTGATTTTTGGTGAATTTTCGTTTTTGCTTGGCTAAGGTTGCGGGTGGGATGATGTGATGATCACATATCATAACTCTGGACTGCTAGATTTGAGAGCTAAAAATTAAAAGGCAACCAGTTTCCGAACATCGGCAAAACCCCTTGAGTCTGGTTGATTGCTCGATATGTAGCAACCATCTTGATACTGAACTATAATATCTTTGCTAGAAGTCGTGCACTGTGGACTACTTGGAGGATCATCCCACGCAACTGGTTGGCAACCATAGTTACAACATCTTACAATCCATATATAATTTAATATATACATAGAATGCTTAACAGGCTTAACATGAAATAGAGTAATCAGAAAACTGAACCCCAATGGATTCTCTCAGGGTTTAGGGTCGTTTATCGGTTGCGTCCAGTTGCGTTTTTCCTGGGATGATCCATGGCGATCTCCCCTCAGGTCATCGATGATGACGACATCCGAGTGACTGCAGCGCAACACGCGGTGGCATCAACGGCGCAAGCCTTGGCAGAGAGAGATGAGGTCCCGGTTGACACAGGAGACCATGGAGACCCCTGGGGCAGATAATTTATATCAATTTACTCTCTGGTTATGTCAAAATAGCTATTGAACATGGCCATAGAAATAGTGGATTTTCCCAGCTATAAAATGGTGATTTTCCATAGTTATGTTAAATTACCAGAGGGTATATCATATCATGCGGAATCATGCAGCTATGACAATATAATACAATATATGTTACATACAGAAATACAGACATACAGGCATACCTACCTGCCTATATATTTGTTTATCGATCTATCGATCTATTAATTATCTATCCAATCAATCAATCAATCAATCAAACAATCAATCAAACAATCAATCAATCAATCAATCAACCTCCCTGTCTGCCTGCCTGTCTGCCTGCCTGTCTATTCGTCTGTCCGTCTATCCGTCTATCTGTCTACCTGTCTATCCGTCTACCTGTCTATCCGTCTATCCGTCCATCCGTCCATCCGTCCATCCGTCCATCCATCCATCCGTCCATCCGTCCATCCATCCATCCATCCATCCATCCATCCATCCATGTCTGTCTGTCTACATATGTGACATCATATTTGTGTGTATACAGTATACATATAATATATATATATACACTGTATATAAATATTACAAAATAATGTATTCGTATTTGCTGATTCACCAAAGCACCGTTCTTTGATGTCTTTCTTGGTTTTCTCACGGGGGCAGCGACAAAAAGAGGACACTTCTCACCAGCAACCAGTGACATGTCACGGTCCAGGGACCCAGGGATTTCTTTGGAGGACCTGTGCCTTCTCCTTCCATGGTTCGAGGCATGACCGGCCTTGTCATCCACAGCCATTGATTTCCATTTGATTATACTGCCTGGCTAGGTCGGTTGCAGTTTGGACGGAATTTTCTGCTCTGGGAACAACCTAACAGGAAAATATGAGAATAGCATAGAATAGCCAGTTATTGGCACCGCGAAGGTCCCAGTGGTGCTTGGGCCAAAGCCAGTAGACCGCAGCCAGTGGAGGAGTTCCCAGCTTTGCCAGGCGGGGGCTTGTTGAGATTGGATCAACTGAGGTCCATACGATGGGTTGTTCGATGGTATTTGTGAGACACAGTTTTTCTATGTGGTATTCCCTACACCCAATGGTTAATGATCATTATCCCTACTAAATGGCTATAATTGGGGGTATACCCCATTTTCAGACATACCCATGTTTTTCTTATGTTTTGTTCTTGGCTTGTCTTTCTCCCTTTCGCGAAAAACGCGTTGTCTTTCTCTCCAAGAATTGACTGGCCATCTTCAAAACGATCAACCTCTGTTCAGTCTTCCATTTTTCCATCATTTTTCCATCATTTTTCCATCATTTTTCCATCATTTTTCCATCATTTTTCCATCATTTTTCCATCATTTTTCCAAGGCAAAGGCTGGCTCCAAAGCCAAGGCAAAGGCAGCTTCCAAGGCAGCATCCAAGGCCAAGGCGACACCTGCCCGTGGCCTCGTAGTACCAAAGACCTGGGCCAAGCCGAACTGACACGAAGAACAAAAAATGGTGCTGTGGGCCGGGGAGGTCTGAGATTTTGGGACTGATGATACCCTGATTTGAATCGATTTGGACATTTTAAGCCTGATTTTAGATAGATTAGATAGATCGCGTGCTTTTTTTGGCAGGGTTCACTGTGGTTTTCGACATCTGTCAGCTCAAGAGAAACAATATCCACATATATCATTCATATATCATCATAACATATCCACATAGTATCATCATAATTCCAAATAATATATATATATATGTATCTCCGGCCCGGTAGTAAAGATGGGATCATTGAACATGCTCCGTAGTGTGTGGCTTTAGCTCTATATGTCCTGTAGAACGTGTAACAACTTCCACGGTGATCCTTGCCCCTGCTGCCGCACTTTGTTGCGCCTGAAGTTCCTGATCACTCAGGGCATTTTACCCCAGGAACACGAGGCCAAGGTGCTTGGCGTGCTGAGGCAAGCGGCTGGGGGTGTTTCGGACATCTACGAGGAATACGGGAGATTTGTGCCACCTCCTGGGTTGGAAACCGGAGCTGCTGGCTCTGCGGGGGCAGCGCCGGCCCCTGGAGTGGTTGCCACCCCTTCAGCTGCTGCAGCGGAGGCCTCTGCACCTGCAGCTGACCACAAGGCGGAAGAAAAGAAGAAGAAGAAGGAGGCCAGAAGAGCGAAGCGTGAGGAGAAGAAGACCCGGGAGAGGGGTCTTAACGAACCGGGAGTAGAGGAGACTCCTGAGGTCAAAGAAGAGGCAGCAGGGAGCAGGGAGGCTAGAGGAGACGTTATCAGGGCAGCGAAGGCTGAACCCTTAGAAGAGAGGGAAATCAGGGCAGAAGGACACAAGAAGGTCTCGCAAGAAGACTTGGACAAGTTCGTATCTGATCATCCAGATCGCTTTGGCCTGGGTTCGATTTCCGTACGGGGATCGGCGGCCCGCCAATTGCGTGAGAACGACGACGTCAGGAGGCGTCGACCAGCAGAACCATCAGGTCCCCCTCCTGAGAGAACGGGAGCTGGAGGAAGGCATCGAGATCAGAGGAGAGAGAGATCGAGGTCTAAGAAACGCAAGTCGAAGGGCGCGGCCCACCGGCAGAGAGGACGGGATTTCTGGCGCCGAGTTCACAATTCGGAGCCATGGCCCCAAAGGCAAAGAGCAAGGCAGCGCCCCGCCTCAGGGGGGCGAGGGCGATGAAGGCTCGAGGAGCGGGAGCCCTGGGAGGCGGGGCTCCTGGAGCGGGAGGTCGAAGAGGAGGACCTCCTGGGAAGAAGCGCCCCGCAGCCGCCGGCGCAAGAAAAGCAAAGAAGCCAGGAGTTCAAGAGGAGCAAGGGATCGACCTGGAAGCAGAGGCGGCGAAGAGATGGGACAGCGGCTTTTCTGCGACTCTTCACCGGCTGGACCCCCGTCGCCTGGAGGGAGGTTCGGGGCTAGTGGTGCCAGATGGCACGTACTACCACCGCCCTGTGCAAGTGGCCGGGACCGTAACCTCGGTGATGATGAGTGGTGGGTCCGTGCACTTGAAGCTGAAGCCAACAGGTACTTCGAACGAGGAGCTGCTGAAGCTGGTGACCGGGCAACCGCAGAAGGAGCTTCGGTGCCATGTGTGCCCACCGGGGTGCAATCAGGAGGAGGTGGCGGAGGACATGGTCCATGTTCGCGTGGGGCGTCCCATGAAGGCAGCCGCAGAGGAGGAGGCCTGGGTGCGCAATCTCGAGAAGGGCGATGGTCAAGAGGAAGACGAGCTTGCTCTCCTGCGCACTCGTGCGACACCGGGAGACCGAGGAGCCCACGTAGGCGCCGACGAGAAGATGGACGAGGACAAGAAGGATGCAAAGAAAAAGGCAAACAAGGAGAAGAAGGTCAAGAAGAAGGAGAAGAAAGAGGTGTCCAAAAAGAAAAAGAAAGGGAGCAGTCAGAGTCGAGAAGAGTCGACCGAGGAGGAAGTGAGGCTAGACGGGACGCGTCCCAAGCAGGCCAACCAGAAGAAGCCGCAGCTTCTGTTTGGAGGAACGGGACTCGATCCAAAGGATCGCATCAGGAATCGAGTGGCCCGGCGCGCCAGGCGCCACCTTCGTCGCAAGAGCGAAAGGAGCTCCTCGAGCGATACCGGGAGCGATGGCAGGACCAGCATCAGCGAGGACGGCGAGAAGAACGAAGAGACGCTGTTCGAGCAGGCCTCAAAAGTCCGCAAGGTCGCGGAGATGTTTCCAGGGGCTCTGGCTTCTCAAGCCATGGGGCAGATGAGGAGCAGCCTCCTTCAGGAGGTTGGGTACGAGGACCGACCAAACGTTCTCTACCCCGTTGCGGTAGCCTACCTGCGGCAACATCTGCAACGACGGGCAAGTGGACCGATTCTTCGGGAGCTCCTGACTTTGTCACACTCCTTGGACTTGCTGCTGAAAGGCAAGGTGTCATCAGCGGCAGACACCATGGTTCAGCGGATAAAGAGTATAGAGCAGAGCCTCACCGGGAGCCACTGGTCAATCGCCCAACGGTTGGAGGTGTTACCACCCGACTCAGTCACTTTGACGGCGGTCCCAGAGGCGGTGGCTGCGCAAAAGGAGATCTACGAAGAGTCCAAGGCGCGGTGGTATGCGTCGATGCCCGAGGGAAAAGGCATTTCAAAAGGAGACAAAGGCCGCGGCAAAGGTCGTGGAGATGGAAAGGACAGGTTTGGCCAGCATGGAGACGGAGGCAAGAAAGGTGCCAAAGGTGGAGGAAGGGGAGAGCCCCCAAAGAAGAAGGAGTAAAGGAGACGAGCCCTGGAAGAGAAGGAGGAAGTAGGCAGAAGAGCACATCGGGAGCACAGGCTCCTGAGCCAATTGGTGCCAAACTCTTTGGCGATGGATCGTATGAGGGAGGGGTGGATCCGGCCTCCCGATCCTGTCTTGCCCCTGGCACCGGGGTGCAACATAGGGATGGGCCTACATCCCACTATGAGCTGCGCCCCCCAACTCTGCATGCAGCTTTGGCGAAGTCCGGAGAATGTGGAATTCATTGTCAAGAAGGCGCGCGGGATGAGCCCGATGGCCCAACTTTTGCAGCTGCTGACTTCAAGATGACTGGCAGCTTCGTTGGCCGTGCGCGTGAAAAAGAGAATGCGCTGACCGCACCTTTGGAGAGGACGTTAGGAACATGTGGGCATGTTTTACTCTCTAGGCTCCTAGAAGTTTTTTCACTTCGCAGCTTGACCACGGGTAAGACCAAACCCAAGGAGCTTTTTCCCTTACCCACTTCTAGCGAGGTCCTAGAGGGGTTGAAACCTGATCTAACTGAGGATGAAAAGTCTTGGCTGACTTGTTTGTGTTTTTCGTTGAACTCCCTCTGGGGAGGCGAGGTGATCAATGACTCAACCCCAAATGTTTGTCAGAAGAAATGCCTGGATGAGATGGCTGTCCAAATCAGACGGTTCTGTGAGCTGGAAGGTCAAGTTGATGAGCTATTTTTCGGGGTGGCAAGAAATCCGGAGGTTTGGCTCGATTCCATTGCCAGAAAAATAAGCCTTTCCTCTGACACCTCGGGTTTGGCCGGGTGTTCAGAAATGGCTTGTCTGAGAGTAGACGGGTAGTACCACCCTGTTGTCGAATTTTTTGGATCCGTTTTTATTTCTTTTCCTGACACACTTGCTGCGAAGTGGAGCAAAAGTGAATTGCATCACATCTTTATATATATCATATATATATATATCAAATATATATATATATTTTTTTTTCCAAGAGGCTCATTGTTGCAATTCGCAGCGGCCTATGCTCGATGAATTCTGTGCCAGGTCAAAGGCAGATTGCCATGGCATGCAAAAAATGTGGCCACGACCAAATGACATGTCATCAAAAAACCGAAGAAGGGCAACAAAGAGAACCGAAACAAAACCAACAACAACAGCAAACAAAAACACGGGCAACGTCAAATGGCATGGTCAGGCCCAATGAAAGTACCAAAATCTCTACTAACCATTTGCTGGCACCGCTGCAGGAAATGTTCATCGACATAACTCTGTTCAGCAGTGTCAAAGCAGCTCATCGCGGTGACTGTACATTGTGCAAGTGCTGCGCAAAAGGCAGGAGGGTACTCCTTGAGATGAGTAGTTTTGAAAGCACCATCCTGATTTCTGCCGATGTTGGAATTACGCGGCAGGTCAGGTGTGATTCTCCAGCTACAAATCGCATGCTTGATGGTGGGCAAATTCACCACCAGCAGCTCGGTGGGTTTTGGGCTGTCAGCTCCAAGCAAACCCTGAGCTAACTTTACACGTTCGACTCCAGGAAGTGTAAAAATCAGCTGGACTAACGGCAATTTCCAAATGGAAGGAAAACTGTCCCCTTCTGGCTCAGCAGGGTGTTCCACAATCCCTGTCATACCCTGTACAGCAAGAGAGAGGACCGATTCAAGACAAAATCCTAACAAGACATTACCGTCAGTCACTTGATCAAGTTCACGTAGAGCAAGTTCAGGAAGCCCCCACAAATGTTCCGCAGAGCGCACAGGGCGTGGAAAGCGGCGTCGAGGATCAAGCTGGTTATTGCAGGGCTGCACAGCCCTGGCTTTCGACCAGGTGGCACATGGGGGGCCCCCAAGGAATCCATGGACCCATCCTTGCTGGATGCCCGCGATCCAAAACGCTTGCACCTGCGGGTCACTCAGGTCACCATACTTCTTGTCGATGATGATGTCGAGTGACACGACATGTAGTAGGAAACCCTCAGACTCCTCGCACATCTTGTCAACGTACCATTGATAATCCCCAACCCGCCTTCTGCCAGCAAAGGCGTGGAGGATGATACGATCTTTCCCAATTGGTCGCGGAGCTGAAATGCTAGGTTTCCAAGGCTTCTCTTCGTGAAGAAGTGTGCTGCTCCATCGGTCAAAATGAGCGAGCTCATCATCTGGGCCGCTCGTGCCAAGCGCAGGCCTGTCAAGGAAGTCCCATGCATCCGCTCTCTGCAATGTCACAATCGCTGCCCGCAAGTATTGTGCATCAAGGCGTAGCGTCTCAGCAAATTCTTCATCAACACTCTCTAAGAAAACCTCCAGAGTCAAAAGGCACTGCGTCCAAGAAATGGGCAACGCCTGAATGGTTATTCTCAGAATTTTGTCAATACTGTCATCTGGCTCTCGATCTGCTAACGCATCAACCAAATTGAGAATGAGGTCAGTGCACTCAACACGGAGATCTCGCGGTTGAATCGGCTCTCTGCTCGCTCCCTGTGTTCGTTGCGGCGGCAGTGCTCCATCGTGGCATCGGTCTCCATGTCTTGATTCTACTGAACCAATTCCCGGTCTCAATGGGAAGAGATGACCTCGTGCCCAAAGATCACGTCTGCAAGTTCCTACGTTGCGTATATGCAGTTGCATCTTCGTGAGCGTATGAAATTCTTTTTGGCAACAGGGACACCATGTGTCGTCAAAAAGTCTTCTGATGGGAGCAGTGTGACCATGGCATCGAAAGAAATGTGCTCCTTCGCCTCCTTTAGTTTTGCATCGCAATTGGCATTGCATGCACCCAAAGACTCCAGAATCACGTTGAGGTTTGGTGTATGCTGGTTCATCGTGCGCAAGTTCACCTGCTTTTTGCAAAATTGTAAAGGATCTGCGATGCAACTTCACAACACACAACTGGTTCCTCCTCTGTAGAATGGCATGTCTGCTGGCACGATTGATGAGTCTCTTCCAAAAACTACGGTGGTGGCGCATCAAATAAAGCCATTGCCCAAAGTGGACAGTAGGGTCCTTGAGTTCGGACGATCTGCAAAGTTGCTTCCACATCCAAATCAAATCATTTTGCACCAAATTGATCCACTGCTGATCTTGTGAGAGGAGTCCCCACTCGGCATGCGCTCCGCAATGGATCAGGATACCAAGATATCTGAGTCGCGCACGGCGCAGTAGTTCTGTGGGTGTAGGCAAACCCAGGAAATCACAGATCTCATCATCATTCCAGCCATTGTGCTTCTGCGGCATCCATTTGATCAATCTTTTGTAAAGTTTGATGATTCCCACATGAATGTGATGGCGATCCGCAACCGTACAGAAACACCAGGATTCCGATCCATACGTGAGGGCGCTGCAAACAATGGACTCGAACATTTGCGTTCTGGTTTGCTGGGCCAGCGTCGGGTTGCAATAGAGGATTTTCCTCTGCTGGGTAAATGTCTGGTGCGCAACTGCAAGTCGTTGCTTAGCCTCTTGTCTTTGATCTCCTCCATGATGAATGATGCCGCCCAAATGCTTGTAGCGGGTCACAACTTGGATTTGATAAGAACTGTGTTCACCAACAACGGGAAACAAGCGACGACCATGGGCACCATAAAATTGTTGTCGCAACTGCCTGGATTTGCGACCACGAAGTGCGAGAAGAAGCTCCGTCTTCCCAGCCGCAAGGTTGGGGGACATGGCAAAATTCACGCACTGATCCAGCAAAAGTCCAGCAAGGAGGCCTACCTTGCGCACTGCCTCTTCGGCTGAATTGCCTGCAATTGGTATGGCTAAATCATCCATCCAACATGGGCCGAGAAACGGCCGTTGCGGTGCATCAGGACCGTCGTGCCCTTGGACTGCAAAGGGATCGGCAAACTCTTGTTCAGGAAAAACTTCCAAGAGGCCCAACTCGATGCATTTTTGCTCCAATGATCGCAACACTCGGGCCCAGAGATATCCAAAAATGGTGTCAGCAAAGCAATCGCCAGGTCGACTTCCTGCCGTAGTGCGACACACATCATTGTCTTGCCCATCAACGACGAACCACGTGTCCGTGTGTATTGCCGTGATACAATTGCGTAGAGTTGGTGGCAAGGCTGCTTGCTGGAGCGCACAAGGGTCACTGAGATGTTGATGGAGATCCGCCATAATAGAATGTGGCAGCCCAAGCCTTTTCGCCACATCAGCAATGTCGTGGTCATCCCAACGATTTTGCATAGCCAGCGGGCGAAGCACTCGATAGAAAGCTTCCTTGAGATCGAGGAAAATGATGCAGCATGAACGGTTCAGCTTCTTTTGCAATCGCAAAAATGCTCGCAGGTGGTGGATGCCCAGGTAGACAGGGATACCTGGCCTTCCTCCAAGCTGTTGGTTTTGTAAGAAGGTCTCGTAAAAGCTGGACTGAGTCATTCTCAGCGTTCGATGCAAACATTTTCCGATTTGTGAGGAAACTAAAAGGCTGCGGTATGATGCGCAGTCATCAACCTCTCCTTTCCCTTTGTAAGCTGCAGTAAGACGGCCACCCTTATGGGGGATGGCCTCTTGACCGTGGAGCGTCATTTTGAGAAGTTGTGAGAATGTGGCTTTCGCAAATTGTCCAACATTGTATTTGCATGCTTCCGGAGGGATGGAGTCCATGCCTACAGCTCGGCCAAGGCGGACATGAGAATATGCACGTTCCAAGTCACAGAGCGTAGGGAGCATCTTTAAACTCAGGTCGAACTCCTGTTGTTGAAAGTGCTGCAGGTTGTCAATCCAACCGTCTCGGAGGTCTTGGTGTGTCATTCTTCTTCCTCCTTCCATGTTGCAAAAGAATTCTGCCCATCGGTCACAACGCTGGCTACTAGATTCGCAGTGCGTGCCATCACTCTTCTTCAACAATGGAAAAGGCTTCTTTTTGATCTTTTTGGGGTTGGTAGGTCCTTGGAGTTTATGAATGGCTTGAAGAATTTGTCCAGCGCTAGCATCTCGTGGCATCTGTTCAAGTCTGCTGCGAAGCAGAGTTGCCTTCGCCTTGCACAAACGTGCTCTCAGTTGCTGGGCGACACTGTGAAGTTGCGCCATGCATCGCACAGTGCAACAGGCCAAGGTGGCTGTATAGCATCTAACAGAGTCCACATGCTGCTGGTTCTCAATCCTTTGGGTCCAGGCACTCCAAGCTTGAAACATCAGTTCTGCTTTCTTTCTACGCTGAGTTTCACGAAGGCTTTTGCGATGGCGAAGTTTCAATGCTCGCAATGCCCAGATTTCATCATCAATGTATGGTTTCTTTGGACCGTGGTCACGGCTTGGATGTTGCTTGTCCAGTGCTGTGATGACAAACTCATTGAAATGGTCCACATGGTGCTCGATGTCTTGATTCCATCGTGGGACCTGATATTGCATCATTGCAGCCTGCAAGCTCGATCGGCGCAGGTCCGCTCGTTCAAAACCTTTCTTTGAAGATCGGGGCTGCCAACGGTGTTGACTAAGTCCCTGCCACTGCAGTTGAACACCTACCAACTCATGATCGATGTGCGCCAGACCAAGGTCAAAATTCTCATCCACAATAGAGAACTCGCAAGCCAGTCGCAAGGACTGCGGTATGGCAACATGATCAATGCGACAGTGCAATTCACCTGAAGGCGATGTCCAGGTAGTGTGCTTACCAACATGGGATGGGAAAGTTGATGGCAGGCAAAGTTCTTGTTCCTCCAAAAACGCACGTAGCATGGGCGTGCTGGCACTTGGAGCATCTTCGTGAGGGCCAACAATCAGTCCATCAGATACACCTGCGGCCGCATTTGCATCAAGAAGGGCAAACAGATGCTGATTGGTGCTGGCTCGGTGCTTCGTGCATAAATCCCCGCAGGAGTGCCACCATTGCTCTCTATCAGAAAGTGTCTGCCCACTCTGTGGGCCGTGACCAACTAATATCAAAGCAGTCAAAAATGGTGCATCAATGGAGACCACGAGTGTGCGTGGATCAGCATGTCGGACTGTAAAATGCCTACGGTGGAAAAACTGTGGTTTACCCAGCACATAAGCATACGGTTGTCGCAAGTTGATCCAAAGCTCAGTGCCATGGTGTCCCTTGCAAGCCCCTGACGCTATGCGCACTACATCTCCTGCTGTTGAAAAGCTCTGGGGACTTCGGGCTTCTTGGATGCCCAAGATGTTAAGGCATATATCACGAAATTGCTGGCGAAGGTATTCTACCTTGCCTCCATGTCCTTCTGGTCCCGCAGACAATGAGAGGACATTGACAGTCGCCAGACTAAGCACAAAGGTGACTTCAACCTCCTTCACAGTTGTAGGAGGAATCTGAGCACTGGGTCTGGCTCTGCTAGGCAATGCTGGGGCCTGTGCATCAAAACCGTGTTGCGTGAGTTGGGGCATTCCAGCTTCCTTGGCAAATACCATCCAAAGATGTGGCAAGACATGCCGCCATCGACGCACATCAAATGTCTTCGGTCTCGGCAGGTAAAAGCTCTTGTCTCGTTCAGCTTTGGCAGCAAAATCTACGAAGTCGTTCCATGGGTCTTGTGAATGACCTTTCACATGGTTGACTTCCAGTCTCTGGCCGGGAAGACAAGCTTCAAGAGATTGAAACACACTGCGCAGCAAAATGAACGGTTGCTGGTAGTCATTGGTGCTAAGACTACCCGATGCTTGTCCACATGACGTGGAGGAATCCGAACAAAACACTGTCGGCGTGTCCAAGTTGATTGACAAACGCCAGATTGCTGCCCAGAAAAGGGCTTCCTTTTCAGATGCATCTGATCCGATTCGATCTGTGCCAAGGAAGAACTTGCTGTTGGGATCGTAGTGCACCGGCTGCGCTTGCCATCCAATAAGCCGTACAGTCCTACAGCCTTCTGAATAGTTCTCGCCCAGTGCAACAAATGCCCAAGTGTCAGGCATACCTTGCTCATCTGTGAGCGTTGGTGGTTGATGTCGTAAATGGCTCAACGATGATCCATCAGTGTAAATCACGATCCTTTCAACATCTTGCACTTTGCAGCTGGTCGACCAGTCAAAGTCTGGCGCCCATGCCGTTGAAGGCGGAATTTGCAAACCTTCAAGCGTCGTGCAGAGTGGAAATTCTTCATTTGAAAAGAATGTGGCAATAGTATCCAGATCGACACCAAGTCGAAGTTTACATTGTCCACATTCAGCAGGAAGTTCAGCTGGACAGAAATTGGGTTTCGGCTGCTGTCGCAGATCTGCCGAAATGCGCTCTGGCCAAGGTGTTGGTTGGCGTACTGTCGAACTGCCTGGATCAAGCGTGGATACTTGATGCGCAAAAGTAACCTTGAAGACATCAGGCAAACATTGTTGGATCGCTTGGATGGTGGTTTTGAAGTACCCCAAACTGTGAAGGATCTTCATGCAGTCAAGTTCTTGCAATACCTCTCCTTTGTGGGAATGCAGAATTGCCGCGTTGGGATCTGTACCATCACTTGTCCCGAATATGTAGTGCTGGAGACTATCATCAGGGATGCGATCTCGAGCCAAGCAGAGAAACTCATGATGTCCGGCAAATTGAAAGGCAAAGCAGTCGTGACCCCAATTCTTGAGCTCTTCGACAATCTTGGCTTCAGTGGGCTCACCATAAATTTCAACAATGGCTGGTACCTGAGACTTGAAGTCCCCAGCACGCAAGCGAACCGCATATGATGGGACATCATCAAGGTTTTGGCTCTCTTCACTGACTACAGCTAGTGCGTCTTCAAGGCAAATATTGTTCTTGCGGATCTTTGTTTGAAGCAGTATGGGTCCATGTTGTGGCACTGGAGAGGCTGCAGCATTCGGCAAATAATCAGCCAGGCGAAATTGCCAAATCTGGAGTGAAATACCATAGCCACTCCTTCCAGCTAAAGGTTGGCCCCTGCGAAGGGGAAGCTGGAGGTACCATGCAACAAATCCATGTGATGGTATGGGCGCAAGACAGTGCGTTTCATGTCCAACAACTCGCAGGATATTGTCAACAAGGATGTGCTCATGCGTTGTGACCGCGATGTTGTAGTGCAGGCTCGGTCGTTCAGGCCTTGCTTCATAGACATTCACTAGACTTGTGACCCAATCCTCTCGCTCCTGTTGCACAAGAAGCACGTGCGCTGCTACCTCATTGGCTACCCGTGGGGGCTTGGGATGCACCACATAAAAGTCGATGCTGCTTCTTGCGTCAACATAGTCAATCCATAGTCGACGCAATTCATCTTCCCATTGCCAGTAATTTGCAAAGAGCTGTTTTTGTCTGCTGTTTCGACAATGTGGGTTATGCCATCGGTGATCGACAAACCAGGTCTCAATCATGCAGGAAGGTTCTTCTTCATCCCAAACTGCAGCATGTTGGTTCCATTGGGTAAAAAGGTCAATCACAAACTCATTGGCACCAAAGAGATTGACCTGTCCCGGTTGAAAGGGTGCTGCGTTGTGATTGAATTGAAATCCCAAGGCTTCACGCGGTTGCGCAGAGTGATTCATGTCGATCGCACATTGTGCATCCGATTGATAATGGCTCTTGGACAGAACTGGGGCGGCACGCAAGGTGATCTCCTTCTGCATGAGTGAAAACGCATCTTCCCGGAAGGACCCTCCAATGGGAGGCAAATGTATCACAACATTAGTTGCACTCTCGAGGATCTCAGGATCATGGATGGCAAAAGGGAATTGCTTCCACGTCACTCGACATTGTCCTTGCGGCTGCAAGGTCTGCAACCTGGCCAAGTGAATGATGCTACCACGCGTTTGCATCGCTTCATCGGAGTGTGCCGAGTGCGAGATCTGTTGTCTCCGCTGGTCAGTGTTTGTTTCATCAATGACAGAGATAACAAATCCAACGTGGTCAGGCTGTTGACCTTGTTCAATGAGGACATGAGCCTGTGTGCATTCAAGTTCACTGCAAGGAGGGTGTGGCATGACAATGCTCAGTGAAAGGCTTTGATCATGTCTGATAACATCATGCCAAACCTCAATGATGCGCGTCCTCCACTCATCTGGATGGTCGGAGAGTCGCACCGAACGAGATTCTCTGCAGGTCTGTTGGTCAAGATGGTGAAGATACCATGTCGTGATGTAAGCAATTCGGCCTTCTTCCTCGCACTCTACAAGGTCAGCTTCATCGACTAGTCTCGAGAGTCTTTGTAATTGTCCGGTAGCAAAGTCAGCTCTCGGTGACGGCCAGACCGGCCGTCTGCGCGCTTGATCTTCTCTCCGGTCATCCCCTCTACCTGCAGGTCTCGGGCTGTCACCATCTGTTGGGTCAGTCTTGAGTTCCTTAATGGCAATATGGACATCGGTTTGTTGGGCAAAATGCATGAAGACTTCAACAGTGTTCTGCATCAATGAGAGGTGGGCATGATCACTTCTCTGATCGCAGGCATTGGGAGCCACTTCCAGAACCCCTCTCGCAATCGCAATTGCAGTCTGAGTGTCAAGCTCTGTGTCCTCAGGGGGTGGTATTTGAATCCTGATGTAATCACCGTGGGCAACGACATGCAAAGTGTTGTCACGCCATTCCCAAAGGCGATGATTTTTGTGCACAATGCAACAATCAAGCTGAGTCCGGCAATAATCATCAAGATGTTGCAAAGTCAGGATATGCGATCTGTGGAGTTGTGCATTGACTCTCATTACCTGTCTGCTGGTTGCTGCAGGAATGGGTAAACCAGATGCCAGAGGATGGAAGTGAACAATCGTGTCCACAAGGACCAGTTTCTCATCCGAACCTGCTGGAACATCATGTATTGACTGTAGGATAACTGCTTCCTCGGAAATCTCATGTATGTCCGGTGGCACAACTGCAAGTCGATGGAAAGTTCTGATTTGGCTGCGAGGCAGTCTCAAAGCATGAATAATACCATCGAGAATGGTCATGTACGTGGACCATGATGCAAAACAGTGCTCATCTCGGGCATGAAGACGATAAACCAGGATACTTTTGTCAGTACTATGGATGCTGGCTTCACTTGCAGAATCATGTGGATCGGCATCAGGAAAATAATTCGGCGGCTGTCCACCAGGCAAGCCTGGTTGTTCATTCTCATAATCCATTGCCTCCTCAGCTTGGCCTGTACTATGTGAGTGCGAGGCAGCCTGCTGGTTAACTTCTCCATGTTGTTGATGGTCGCTTGCAGCAGCTGTGATTGGCCACTCTGTCTGGATATGAAGGACAAAGGAATGTCCTGCCCTCATGAAATGTAATTGGCGATGGTCACAGGGGATTTCATTCCAACCGAATGTGATCAGGCAGCGATGATTGATGGTGTTACACCAATGCATACAATCTGCAGCATCGACAATTTCAAACCCAGAAATCATTGGACCAAAGGACGCCGCAACAGCAAATGAGAATTGTTGCGCTGAGCTTCCTGAATAATGTGTTGTAACAATTCCAGGTAGGCGATGAATCCATGTGCCTTGTGACAAAATGATGTCAGCATGCGTGGGCTGTGGCAAAGAACCTCGGTAAGGGTCCGGAAAAGCAACGTTAAAGTCTACCTCTTCATCAGGCCTTATGTGGTCCCTCCACGCACCTCTGAGATCAGGATCCCATCGTCTCCAGTCTTCATGAAATTCGAGGATGCGGTATTCAAGATTGCGTTGTTGATGGACATGGTGGATGTACCAAGTCCGTACTCTGAAAACATCTTCTGCGTCCAGATCAGTGAAGGCACCATGTCGTTCCGCCAATTCAAGAAGATCATGTATGAATGGTGGCGCATGTACAGGATCAGGAATCACATCAGGATCTGGCTCCTGTTCGCCTGCCTCTTGACGCATTTCAGATGGTATAGGATTCTGCCATTGGTCAGTGATGCGATACTGAGTCATGGGGCATTGAGGACTGGAGATACACACGGCCAGGCTTGACAGCGGATCAACATCAGTCCTGCTTGAGAAACTGTAGAGAATGTGCGAGATGGCGTTCAGAGACCCTCCAAAGTCGACTTGAACAACTGCATGATGTGGTATGGAAAATTTTGACATCAAAATTGTCGTGTCATCACCAACCAGAACATCAACATCATCACGAAAACGCACTCGTCCATGACAATGAGGTGGATAAGGAAAATGATCACGAAGAGTGGGAACTGATTGTCGCACGATGCCTTCATAGGTCCCAAGCTCAAAAGACAATTGTCTGGCGCTTTCAACAGCTCCCCATTCTGTCAGAAAGGCCGGCTCAAAGGTAATGGGATGGGTCCATTTGGCAACAAGCAATTCATTGGGCAAAATGCACACTTCCTCTACTGGCTTCAGGTTGAAGTACGTTGACGTCACTTGCAACCAGCCTAACCAAAAGGCTTGCCATGGTCTGCGGCTTCTCCTTGGAGTGGCGCATGCATGGTTGAATCTTCTTCTGCAGGATGGCGTCTGCGAGGCCTCTTCGCCAGATGAACTTCGTCTTCTGACACGATCGACATTGCCTGCTGCTGAAGGTTGACCAAGGACTTGTTGAGGTCTTCCATCGTGTCTGTGATCTTCTGTGCCGATCCAGACGCAGCAGTTGTGATTTCTCCGATCTCCTCGTCTGAAATCTCCTGCACTTCTCCTGCAGTCTCTTGAGCTTTGGCTGATGACACTTTGGCTGCCAGAAAGGCTTCTTTGGAAGTGGATATTTGCTCGGACAGCTTCTTCTCCTGAGCTGCAAACTGGGCTGCATATTCTTGCCACAGTTTGACGGCATCTGACAGGAACTTCTTCCAATTGTTGTGCAGTTGCGCTCTGGCCATCAAAGAATCCTCGTAGGCCTTGCGCATGTGGCCCAAATGGGTCGCTGCCGCATGAAGGTTCCTGGTGGCTGTGGCTCCATCCTTCACTCCTTCCTTCATGGCTGTTTCCTTGACAGCTTTTTGTATGTGAGGTGGAAGTTCGGCCACATCTTGCTTCAACATGGACAGAAGCTCTGGCGAAATCTGCTCTGATGTTGGTGGTATGGAAGGTGCTTCGGGCATCGTTGGCATCGCAAAGCCTGCTCCCATAACCGAGGTCACTGGTTGTGCCGCTTGCATATGTGGAGGCGGTCCAGCTGTGCCGGCTTGCCATGGTGTGCTTGGCGGCGGCAATGGTGCTTGTGTCCCTCCAATTGGGTAAGGAGGCTGCATCAAATGCATCGATTGCATTGGCTGCATACCCCAATTCATCATGGGCATGTTCGCTGGCAGCTGACCTGGAGGTCCCATGGGTGCACCTGGCATCGGGTGCATAGGCATCATGGGTCCCTGCGGCTGCGGCTGATTGCCCCTTGGAGTGCCATGCGGGGTCTTGTTCCCTTTGGCACTTTTGGACCTTGATTTCTTTCTCGGCGTCTTGGGCCGATTTTGAGATTGGTCCCATGACTGTTCCCATTGAGAATAGCCTTGCTGATGTCCCTGCCAGGGCGCAGCATATGTATTTTGCTCCGCTGTCCATTGTTGGGACTTTGCACCATGGACGTATGTCCTGTCGATCACTAAATGCCATGGCATCTGACATGTCGTGCAATGCAACGCTGAGTGCTTCCTCAGCTGCTTGCAACTTGAACATCTCCACGGCGGATTGCTCGTAGACGACATTGCTGATCTGATTCTCGCAATGAAATGGCTGTCCTTGGAATGATGGGAACTGAGTGTCGATGCAAGTTGCTTCAGCTGATTCCTTGTCAAAGAAATGAATCCCTTCCGATAAAGATACCACTGAAGTCTCGCTCTTGCTCGTTTCCGACGCTGCGTTCTGCGGATGGTGTTGTTCGCCGTGGTCAATGTCCACCGGGAATTCGTAGTGCTCTACAAGAAAATCCTCAGAGACAGTGCCAAAAGTGAGAACAGTGCAAATCAGATTCACCTTGGTCAAGATCAATGTCAGGACAAGGAAGAACAAAATTGCCGTACTCATACACAGAAATCGCAAACTTGTCCAGATTGTAAGGCCACCCAGGTTTGATAACGGTGCTGGGACACCGAGCAGCTGAGGTGATACCTGTCAAAAAGATCAGGCAGCGCACTTTTCGAAGGTCCAGGGCTGCGCCAGTTCAGACCAAACGAAAGCAGCAAGCGAATGGCCCGCGGAATCCAGGACTAGATTCCGCTAAGGTAAAGGACGTAACGGGTGATGGGCCCTTGCGATCCGAAACCTTTATATATATATATCATATATCCAGATCTTACTTGGCTTGGACTTTGTATCGCCAGGTGATCCAGGTCTCACGGAGGAGGAGGTCAAGATCCTTCTCCAGGGCGCAGCGATGGGCGATGCGGAGTCGCAAGTCCTCATCGGGCGGATGGCCCTGGAAGGACCTGCTCGGGGTGAAGGGCATGGCTATGGCGAAAAGGGTTCAGATGATCCCAAAAAATCCCAAGATATCCCAAAATATCCCAAGATAGTATATGAAAGTCTACTAACTAAGGTGTTACCGTGATAAATCCAGAAAAAACATTGTAATCTCACCAAAAACAAGTATGAACTGTCCAAAATTGCAGCTTTATCAGTGGGTTTACCACATAGTGACATATGACTTCTTCTCCTAATTAGCATCGGATGCACCAATTCTTCTGGTCGCCAAGGCTGTTGCTGTTGACGTGCAAAGTTTGCTCCAAGGGTTGGGATGAATCCTATCACTTGTAGGAGACTTGCAAAAAGCACAACAATTTACGACATATATATATAATATAGATTTAACATATATATATATATTACTTGCATATCATACAATAGATTCGAGAGCATGTCCATCCCTTCATTCAACATGTGGTGCACGAGATTCAAGAACAAACCGCGAATCAGAAACTTACCGCGAATCAGAAACAAAGAATCAGAAACTAAAAGCCGCGAATCAGAAACTAAAATCCGCGAATCAGAAACCAAAATCCCGCGAATCAGAAACCAAAAATCCCGCGAATCAAAAACTAAAATGCGCGAATCAGAAACAAAACTCCGCGAATCAGAAACTGAGAATCAGAAACTAAAAACTGCGAATCAGAAACTAAAATCCCGCGAATCAGAAACCAAACTCCCGCGAATCAGAAACCAAAATCCCGCGAATCAGAAACCAAAAACCGCGAATCAGAAACCAAAACCAGAAAATCAGAAACTAAAAAACACACGAGAGCAGGTGCGTTTCGACTGAGGCAACAGACAGACTGTGACGTTGGGACTCTTCAGACACAGTTGAGTAAACCATATTTTGAACAAGCAGCTTCTGAATACTTGCCACTCCATGAAAGCTGCGACACTCTCAACTTCAATTTCTCTTCTTAAGAAATCAAATCCGCCACCCTCCTCTGGCCACTATGTTGAATAGGATATTACCTTGTACTTCACTTCAAAAGAAATTAAATCCACCACCCCCTCTGGCCACTATGTTGAATAGGATATTAACTTCAACTTATCTTCATAAGAAATCACATCCGCCACCCCCTCTGGCCACTATGTTGAATAGGAAATTACCTTCTACTTCACTTCAAAAGAAATCAAATCCGCCACCCTCCTCTGGCCACTATGTTGAATACGATATTACCATCTACTTCACTTCAAAGGAAATGAAATCCGCCACCCCCTCTGGCCACTATGTTGAATAGGATATTACCTTCTACTTCACTTCAAAAGAAATTAATCCGCCACCCCCTCTGGCCACTATGTTGAATAGGATATTAACTTCTACTTCACTTCATAAGAAATCAAATCCGCCACCCCCTCTGGCCACTATGCTCAATAGGATATTACCCTCTACTTCACTTCATAAGAAATCAAATCCGCCAACCCCGTCTGGCCACAATGTTGAATAGGATATTAACTTCAACATATCTTCATAAGAAATCAAATCCGCCACCCCCTCTGGCCACTATGCTCAATAGGATATTACCCTCTACTTCACTTCAAAAGAAATCAAATCCGCCACCCCCTCTGGCCACTATGTTGAATACGATATTACCTTCTACTTCACTTCAAAGAAAATCAAATCCGCCACCCCCTCTGGCCACTCTGTTGAATAGGATATTACCTTCTACTTCACTTCAAAGGCAATCAAATCCGCCACCCCCTCTGGCCACTATGCTCAATAGGATATTACCCGCTAATTCACTTCATAAGAAATCAAATCCGCCAACCCCGTCTGGCCACTATGTTGAATACGATATTACCATCTACTTCACTTCAAAGGAAATCAAATTCGCCACCCCCTCTGGCCACTATGTTGAATAGAATACTACTTTCTACTTCACTTCATAAGAAATCAAACCAGCCACCCCCTCTGGCCACTATGCTACATAGGATATTAACTTCAACATATTTTCTTAAGAAATCAAATCCGCCACCCTCCTCTGGCCACTATGTTGAATAGGATATTACCTTCTACTTCACTTCAAAAGAAATTAAATCTGCCACCCCCTCTGGCCACTATGTTGAATAGGATATTAACTTCAACTTATCTTCATAAGAAATCAAATCCGCCACCCCCTCTGGCCACTATGTTGAATACGGTATTACCTTCTACTTCACTTCAAAGGAAATCAAATCCGCAACCCCCTCTGGCCACTCTGTTGAATAGGATATTACCTTCTACTTCACTTCAAAGGAAATCAAATCCGCAACCCCCTCTGGCCACTATGTTGAATAGGATATTACCTTCTACTTCACTTCAAAAGAAATCAAATCCGCCACCCCCTCTGGCCACTATGTTGCATAGAATACTACTTTCTACTTCACTTCATAAGAAATCAAACCCGCCACCCCCTCTGGCCACTATGCTACATAGGATATTAACTTCAACATATCTTCATAAGAAATCAAATCCGCCACCCCCTCTGGCCACTATGTTGAATAGGATATTAACGTCAACTTATCTTCATAAGAAAGCAAATCCGCCACCCCCTCTGGCCACTATGTTGAATAGGATATTACCTTCTACGTCACTTCAAAGGAAAGCAAATCCGCCACCCCCTCTGGCCACTATGTTGAATAGGATATTACCTTCTACGTCACTTCAAAGGAAATCAAATCCGCAACCCCCTCTGGCCACTATGTTGAATAGGATATTACCTTGTACTTCACTTCAAAAGAAATCAAATCCGCCACCCCCTCTGGCCACTATGTTGAATAGAATACTACTTTCTACTTCACTTCATAAGAAATCAAATCCGCCACCCCCTCTGGCCACTATGCTACATAGGATATTAACTTCAACATATCTTCATAAGAAATCAAATCCGCCATCCCCTCTGGCCACTATGCTACATAGGATATTAACTTCAACTTATCTTCATATGAAATCAAACCCGCCACCCCCTCTGGCCACTATGTTGAATAGGATATTAACGTCAACTTATCTTCATACGAAAGCAAATCCGCCACCCCCTCTGCCCACTATGTTGAATAGGATATTACCTTCTACTTCACCTCAAAAGAAATCAAATCCGCCACCCCCTCTGGCCACTATGTTGAATTGGATGGTAACTTCAACTTATCTTCATAAGAAATCAAATCCGCCACCCCCTCTGGCCACTATGTTGAATACGATATTACCATCTACTTCACTTCAAAGGAAATGAAATCCGCCACCCCCTCTGGCCACTATGTTGAATAGGATTTTACCTTCTACTTCACTGCAAAGGAAATTAAATCCGCCACCCCCTGTGGCCACTATTTTGAATAGGATATTACCTTCTACTTCACTTCAAAAGAAATTAAGTCCGCCACCCCCTCTGGCCACTATGTTGAATAGGATATTAACTTCAACATATCTTCATAAGAAATCAAATCCGCCACCCCCTCTGGCCACTATGCTACATAGGATATTAACTTCACTGTATCTTCTTAAGAAATCAAATCCGCCATCATAAGAAATCAAATCCGCCACCCCCTCTGGCCGCTATGCTACATAGGATATTAGCTTCAACTTATCTTCATATGAAATCAAATCCGCCACCCCCTCTGGCCACTATGTTGAGTAGGATATTACCCTCTACTTCACTTCATAAGAAATCAAATCCGCCACCCCCTCTGGCCACTATGTTGAATAGGACATTACCTTCTACTTCACTTCAAAAGAAATCAAATCCGCCACCCTCCTCTGGCCACTATGTTGAATACGATATTACCATCTACTTCACTTCAAAGGAAATGAAATCCGCCACCCTCCTCTGGCCACTATGTTGAATAGGATATTACCTTCTACTTCACTTCAAAAGAAATTAAGTCCGCCACCCCCTCTGGCCACTATGTTGAATAGGATATTAACTTCAACATATCTTCATAAGAAATCAAATCCGCCACCCCCTCTGGCCACTATGCTCAATAGGATATTACCCTCTACTTCACTTCATAAGAAATCAAATCCGCCAACCCCGTCTGGCCACTATGCTACATAGGATATTAACTTCAACTTATCTTCTTAAGAAATCAAATCCGCCATCATAAGAAATCAAATCCGCCACCCCCTCTGGCCGCTACGCTACATAGGATATTCGCTTCAACTTATCTTCATATGAAATCAAATCCGCCACCCCCTCTGGCCACTATGTTGAGTAGGATATTACCCTCTACTTCACTTCAAAGGAAATGAAATCCGCCACCCCCTCTGGCCACTTCACTCCAAAGGAAATCAAATCCGCCACCCCCTCTGGCCACTATGTTGAATAGGATATTACCTTCTACTTCACTTCAAAAGAAATCAAATCCGCCACCCTCCTCTGGCCACTATGTTGAATAGGATATTACCTTCTACCTCACTTCAAAGGAAATTATCCGCCACCCCCTCTGGCCACTATGTTGAATAGGATATTAACTTCAACTTATCTTCATAAGACATCAAATCCGCCACCCCCTCTGGCCACTATGCTCAATAGGATATTACCCGCTAATTCACTTCATAAGAAATCAAATCCGCCAACCCCGTCTGGCGACTGTGTTACATAGGATAGCACCTACAACTTATCTTCATACGAAATCACATCCTCCTTTGACATTCATCTTACCTTCGGACAGATTTCACTCCCATGATTTGCCGTGGTCTGATCCCAATTAAAGAGAACCCATGCAATCCACTCCATTGGAAGAAGACAAGTTGCCCATTAGGATTGATGAACAGGTTTTAGTTTCCGATTCTTTTGGTTTCCGATTAACAGGTTTTAGTTTCCGATTCACCTGCTTTAGTTTACGATTCAGCTTTGGTTCCCGATTCCGGGTTTTTGGTTTCCGATTCAAGGGTTTTAGTTTCCGATTCACGGGTTTTAGTTTCCGATTATTTTAGTTTCCGATAAACAGGTTTTAGTTTCCGATTAACGGGTTTTAGTTTCCGATCAACGGGTTTTAGTTTCCGATTAACGGGTTTTAGTTTCCGATTAATGGCTTGACCGAGATTCAAGCTTTCATTCGTTTGATTTTGTGTACTTGGAGGTACAGTTCCAGTTGTAAGTGGATATATCACCATAGTTATGGGGTTATATCCCAACTAATGAAGGTTATGACCATGGATGTATCTATCAGTAAACCCAACCACACCAGCCCAGGAAATATCGCCGAACCAGATCCTGAACAGGCACCACACAGATGCCGTGTAAGGGCATCTCAAAACGACTTTGCACCTGACTTTCCCAGAAAGCTACGCAGATTCACCTCACTCCAAGTCGAGAGTTTTTTCTGGACGTTATACTGTTGTACCCATCCACTCAATACACTTGGTACTTGTCACGGCATTGTAGATCAAGTGACAAGTACTGATTGTAGATCATGATTATAATTAGCAATGATTGTGGTAATGCTTTGACCTCCTGACAGGTCAAGGATCTTCTGTTATTCGGATGTTTTGCTGCTGGTCAAATCTTGATCTGCCAAAAAAAAGTGAGAAGATACAGCGATTGCAATTTGCAACCAATTGACGCCTTCGGCTACGAGGCAGCAGAGTGGTTTTTGAAAGCTGCCGAACAGGGGGACAAAGATGGGACAACCTGTCCTGTTTCGAAGCTGCCCATGACGCTGCATTTGTTTACCCTCTGGCAATATCAAACATATTATGAACATCTCCCATTCATAATATGAGTTTCCCATTTCAAGGCCCATTTGTAGGGGATGTCCCAGCCATGTTTAGATATATGTGGCCAGCATTATAAACAAAATGCCGCCAGGCAATTCAACCTTGGCATGCTGCTGATCTCTGGAAATGGAGTTCCGCAGGATATGCAGGAAGGCTCGATGTGGCTGGAAAAGGTGCTGGCCTGAGATGGCCGAAAAACATGGGCTTTGGTCAAACAAAACATGGGGAAAACCACGGTAAAACCCCAGTGCAAAATGGATCAAAACGGCGGTTCTCTCGGGGAGATGCAGAAACTAAGCCCTAAATCCTCAGGCTGCAGAGCAAGGCGTGCATGAAGCGCAGTACTTCTATGCTGCAACGTTTGACTCCCAATATCTTGAGAAATGTCAGAGTGCAAGATATTTCAAGCATGTGGGTTTGTTGGAACATGGTGTATCCCCCCAAAAATTGCGATCTTAATGAAGGACATGATGATTGGCCATGAATGTTGGGGGGTACCTGATTGGCAGAGAACCCCAGATATTTCGAGCATTTCATATCTTTACAGACATTTACAGATAGGTTTGGAGATGTCCTTCAATTCAAGTAGTACAAACCACTACAAACCTATTGGATCCTATTGTATTGTTCAAATTGTTCAACAGCATCCTTGAGACGCTACCACCTTGGCCCTTGACCTTGCTGACTGGGGACCTGACTCAGGAACTTGCAGGATGGTTTTGACGGAGATTCCGACAAGGCGAGCCATGCAGTGTGGCTGGTCGCTGCTGTGGACCAATGACCAGACATGGCCAGACATCCTTTTCTGTTGGGGGAAACATGATTCATTGCAGCTGGGATGGAGAGCTTAGATTGCTTTGAACGTTCTGCTATGGGATTGAATTTAGTTTCAATGCTTCAAAGTGATGTTTTGATTGGTTCTCATTTGTTTTGATCCCACGTGCATTTCCCGTGGTTCGGCTGGACTAGGGCTGAAACTTACTGGGATTTGTCAACCGCAAATATTGTGCAATGCAAGGAGTGTGGTTGATGGTTGAAGTGTGTCAGTTGATATCAAGTGGCAGTGTGTCAAAACCTTTTCCTTTTCCCGCCCGCTGGAGATTCGGATTCTGGTGAGACAAAATCCGGCAGCCGGCGAAATCAGGTCGTACCCCCACAGAAATCAGAATACTGCGCCATCGCAGCATGGACTGAATGTACAGCAGTAGTTCCTCGCTTGACGTAACTGCTGTGAACCCAATGGATTGTGCTCGGAGAAGCAGGCATAAGAAGGCACCTTTGCCAACTACGGAAAACTGAGCCAAAAGGCTTACTCGATTTGATTGTACACTCAGTTCCAATAGCTTTTGCAAAACACTTGATCATGGCGCAAAACCATCCAGCAGACCGAATGAAGTTATAGGTGTCGTTTGTACGTCGACCCTCCAATGGCTCAAATTGCTTGGACTTACGGTTATACATGAAACCAAGGTGGTTTGTGCTAAGTTGGAAGTGGGCGTACAGCTGGTAGCTAGACAACCACATTGGAATTGCTGCTGGGTCCTGTGTGAGTTGGACCAACCACCTGTGTATGATTTGAAACCCTTCTCCCAGCGAATGGTCTGATGGTTCAACAATCTCCAGTGGTAACTGAGCAAAACTAATACGGTCAGCCGCTGTGGGTGTCTGCTGTTCCATGCGTTCCCATGCATCCTCTTCTTTTGTTTTAAGAGTGTTTTTTTCCGCAACGACTTTGGATCCTATTGCGACAAGGAGCTTGTGCATGGCCCTGCAGGCCGCATACCTTTGTTCACTCTCAACTTGCAGTCGTCTGTATGCATGTATCACTGCTGCTGGCAGCAGTGTTCGTGCCCAGGTAGCTGCTGCGTCTGCTGCTTCATTCCCCTCAATGGCCCAACGGTCAACCAGTGAGGAGTATTCCATGTGTGCCTGGTGAGAAGTGACCTTCAAAATTCTTTGAAATAGACCCATTGCCTTGGCTCTAAGCACCAAGGTATGCAATGTCTGCCACAAGTCATGGTCTTTCTGACGCGATGTAACAGAAAAATTCTCCTGTGAGAGCATGTTCTGTACCCTGTCGAAAACATCTTGGCAATCGGTCCAAACATAAAAAGGTTTATGGTGGTACACTCCAAAGCGGCAAGCGGCAATGACTGCAGTGATTTCTGCTCTCAATACAGTCTGCAAGATTCCTGGCACTCCTCCTGCTGCTACAGGGGGGAAGCCAGAGTCTGGGAGCAACGCAAGGCATACTGACCATGTGACATGACGCAAATGTTTCTTGGTGGGATCAGTTCCACTTCCATCGGTAAACAAATGCAAAACTTCAGGCATGGCTGCAAAATGTTCAAAAATGGCAGTAGAATCACCAATTGTCATGAGTGCTTTACGGAAGTCATGATCGGCAGCACTTTCTAAAAACCATCCGTGCAACCTGGTGCAATCTGGCTGGGACATGATGTACTGCCTAACACTGGGGTCCATCTGGTTTCTTTCTTCCTGAAAGTGACCACACTCCCAGGTGCGGTGCATCACACTGTCTTCGCAATCGCACCAAGGGCATTGTTTGCTTGTGAACCTACCACTGGAAAACTGCTTATCTCTGGTGTAAAAAGAACCGTTCATGGCCACCCGCAAGAGTCCTTGTTCCTCCTGAGAGAAGAGGTGACTAGTATGGTTACTGCACTTTGTGTCCACATTTGCAATTCCATGGAATTCAGCCCGTGAGGCCATGTTGTGGCCAACAGTTGCAGCCCATGCATGCGCAAGTCTTGTTTGCAACAGTTGGACTGGGGCATCCAACAAGTGCATTCTAAAACCCTCATGATTGATGACAAACCCATTCCCATCCCATTGCCAGTTAATCTGGTGCAACCGAGTGAGTAAGACTCCGCAGGGCCCTGGCAAGTACCTGGGTGGTGGCTGGCATGTCAAGAGATCTAAAACCTCATATGCAAGTTGGGGTTGGCAGTACTGCCGGAAATGGGTCACCGTTTGCAAAATTGCGAAAAAATGGGGGTCATATCTGGGGTCAGTGATGAGCCCAAATTGGATACATGACGAGGATCCATGCTTTTCCCATCTCAGTGCACTCATGGCTGATGCCCTTAGCGTGGTGAAATGGTCAATGCCTATGTCAACTGAACTTACTCCATGCAAACATCTAGGCCATGCAACTGTGGATAGGATCCTCAGTTTCTTGTGAGCGCTGGCCTGGCTCCGGCTGAGCCATCCCCAGATGGGCTTGGATTGGGTGATTCTGGCCCGTACTGAGTAGTTGGTGCGCTTCTTGCTGTAGTTCAGGTGACCCCCCAAATCTTTGGCATGTAACAAAACGGTGTGTCCCTGGGCTTTCAGGGCCTTTCGGCAGGCAGTGGTGGTACCCCAGCTGTAGGTTTTGGCACGGTCAAGTTTGATGTCAAGTTGGGATGCAAATTGGTCCATGACCTCAAAGGCAGCACATGTAGCTTCAGGCTGTGTTGACTGAGCCTCCCAGTTATCAACATAGCTAACTACTGCAACCGAGCTTATGGATCGGGTAACAATTGTATGCATGGCACAATTGATCAACACCATGGAAACCACGGACAATGGATCACCTTCAGGGAATCCTGTGTGACTCAAAATGGCTGGCGAACAACTTCCTTGTACAATGAAACGCCTCTCAACCTGTGCGAGAGTGCGCATCCAATTCTTCATGAAGAACTCAGGAAGTCCCATGTGCCTGCCAAGGAAGTAAACCACATGTCGTGGCAAGGTGTTGAAACATTTGCAAACATCAGTCACAATACCCGTCCGCTCTTCATGGAAGTATTGGGCATGTTCGATTTGTTCCGCAAGGGCTCTCCACACCTGGACGGTGGATTGGTTGGGCATGTTACCCATCAAACCCGGTGGTGCTACTCTGTGGAGCCATTTCAGGATCTGTCGTGTTCTGATGGAACTGTAGGTTCTGTACACCATGCTCAGCACTGTGATTGGTCTATATTCAGATGGTGAGGCAGCAGCGCTGTGTTTCTCGATGGCTGCAATAAGCCCTACCATGGTGGCCTTGGGCCAATCATATCTTCCCTGCTCAATCAGGTTGACATGGTCGACCAATTTTTGGGTGAGTGCTAATGGCATGTTGAGGAGGTCTTCTTTGGCAATGCCATCAGGGCCAACTGCACTGGTAGACTTCTTTCTACGTACAGCTGCGTACCATTGGGCTGTTGTCAATGGTTGCATATGCATGGGTTGTTCGGCAGAAGGCATCTTGTCCTGGATCTGCTGGATAAGTGGAATCCATCGGTTGATCTCAGTGTTTTTGTGTTTCTGCCACATGGGTTGCCAAAGGTCTTCAAAGGCTTGGAAAACATCCCTTAAGTCTCCGGCAATTTTTGGCTGGAGAAGGTGATCTCCTGGCTCAAGGGCTTGGGGCTGTGTCAACTTCAAGGTGCCAGGTGTATGGTCTTGGATTGCAATTGAACCATGCTGTGAGTTAACCGGTTCATCAACTGCCAGCAAGTGGGGCTGGTATTGGATGGTAAGGCCATCTGCGCTAACCTCAGTTATGTTTGCATTAGCATTTACAACTACTGTGGAAACAGGCAATGACCTAGGTTTTTTCACATCACGGAAAATTGCATTCGAGTCAGTCATTCTGGTCTCTCTGGCTTTTTGGCATCGAGCACGGATGAGCAGTTTTTCAAGTCCATCGAACTCTGCCTTGAAGGCGGTGAAAATGGCTTCAACTTCATCTGCAGTGGGCAGGTGCTTAGGAAGGTGGTGCGGTGCACTGGGTAAATTGCTTGACCGCTGTTGCCATGTTTTAGCAAATCCACCTGGGAACCCTGCCGCAGCTCGAATGGATTTCCAGAGTTCCATCTTGTCATTCTGAAGGTCTTTGTAATGCTTCTTGGACTTCATCATACAGTTCAAACTCTGGAGCCTTCTCAACTGGCGGCACCACTTTGTGTGGACAAAGTGCTCGCCCATGAACTTGATTTGTACATCACCTTTGCGCGATGGTTTATTTGGAGTGATGGCATGCTTGCAATTGGTAGGTGCAACGGTTTGGCATCTTCCTCTTTGCTGGGAAAGTAGCCCGTCCTTACCATTCCATCTCATGTGCATGTCAACTGCATCTTCAAGACATGCAAAGATTTCCGTCATACTAGCAAGGCCATCTACAGGCTGGCGTTGCTCATTGTGGAAACTGGCAAGGTCGATTTCTTCCCATGGCAAACGCCCTGGCTTCCTCCAAATTGGAACTGTCGGGCTCTTGTCGAATGCTTGAAACTCCGCAACTACTACAGCATGGTCAGCAAAAAAGGAAGCGTCAACATCAACCGCAAGGAGGCGGGGGATGAGTTCAGGGGAAATCCACATGTGATCCTTCCGGGTCTTGCCATGGCATGTGGGGCGTATGCATTGCCCCCATTTTTGAGCCGCAATGTCCTGGATCTCCATAAAGCCATGATTTCTCCAGGTGGTGAATTGTTCTAGTGAATCATGGTCTTCTTGGTTGAAGTCGCCACAAATGATTCGGAATCCCTTACTCTGGAAAACAATTCTTTCTGTGAGTTGCTCCAGGACCTGATCGGTTGCTTCACGAGTGGCCCTTGTGTGAGGCTGCTTTGCATACCCATAGGCTACTCCCAATTTGACCCATTGCTGCTGGACCCGTACTGCACAGGCTTGCAATCGAGCAGTTTGCCATGTCTCGACACTCCAGTCATTGGGGAGCGCACGTGCTGC